GGTAGGGAAACTTACCCAACTAAAATCATTGAAAATTTCAGGGTTGAGAACAGAAGACGGAAAAATCCTATGCTCGTCTCTTGAAAAACTGGGCAACCTCCGTAAATTGTGTGTTGAAGCACAAGCACCAGTAGGAAAATGGAATGGGTTTGAGTTGCTTGATCTAAAGACATTATCTTCGGGTCCTCCACTTCTACAAAAACTTTACTTGTTTGGACATCTAGAGGAGACACCACATTGGATAGCTTCTCTTCATAGTCTGGTCTCGGTACATCTAATGGGGAGCAAATTAAGGGATGACCACCTACTGCAATGGCTACAAGATTTGCCAAATCTCCAGCGTATGTCATTCCAAGATGATGCGTATGTTGGGGAGGAATTATGTTTCAAGGCTGGAGGATTTAAGAGTCTCAAATATTTAGGTCTTTTCGTATTACAAGAACTGAGATGGGTGAGATTAGAGCAGGGCGCCATGCCTCATCTTGAAGAGCTAGAAATTTGGAGCTGTGATTTGATGGGGTATCCAATTGGAATCGAACATCTAACCAACCTTCGATCAATTACGCTAGATGAAGTGGATAAATTAAAGCCTCAGAACTTGTCAGATAGAGATAGAGATGATGCATGGGATGACAACAAATTGCACACATCCCTCATAGGAATATCCGGAGCTGGCACACAACATAACCTTTGCATGGACGTCTTCGAATAAAAAGGAGAAGTTGAAATCACTGTCTCGTGGCTAGACCCGTGGTGGAGGTGGTGGTTGTGGTCCAGGCATTATGTTATAATTTTGGATTGATATCATCTAGTGATGTAATATTTGAAATAATATCAAGATCTCTTATTACCATGTGCAATCTTTGGTTAAGCCTCTACTTCAAATTTGTTTTTCTCTTTGGCTAAAGATCTTAAGCTGTCAAAATTGATAGTCTCTCAACCAAATTTGCTTGATTAAATGGACAATTAATTCAAATCTTGCACGATGCTTCTCCCTCGATAAGATGGTATTCGTGATCAATGTGTTCTTCTCCATACAATCCATGAACACCACCAATTTCTCAAGCTCACCATAGAACCAATGCCGCCAGTTGTTATGGTACTTATTTATTTATTTATTTGGGCGGGTAAGTTATGTTTGAACATTATTAATCAACCAAAGCATGTAGAGGAATAATAGAGCAGACCTTCTAACTCCAACCGAGCCCTTAGGTATACATATCTTTAGGCCACAAAAAAAAAAATTCAATGCAATAATTGAAAATTTCCCCATTAAGATCTAAACATCACTGCTAAGAAATTAACCTAGCATCGAAAATACCCCATTGAAAGCTTAAAATCCAATGCTTGTGTGTATTGCTAAGTTCTCTCTATTAAGCAGTTTTTATTCTAACAAAAGCCCGAAAAGCCTTTTAATTTCTCCCGGCCCAAGTTCCTCACTATAGAAAGAAATGATTATATTTTTCAAGTAAGGGCGTTAATTGAGTCGAGTATTGTGAGTTTGAACTCGAGCTTGTCGAGTTCATTTTTTTAAACTGAGTCTAAAAAATTGTTCAAATTTAGTATTTTTAAAAAATGACCCGAATCCTAGCCCCCACGCTCGGGCCGAACCCAAGTAGTTCGACTATTTACATATAAACAAGTCGAGCCTTTCAGACTCATTTTTCTAAACCAACTTAAAAAATTGTTCATGTTTAGCTCATTTAAAACCCGAGTCAAATCCGAGTAGTTTGTCTAGATTAACATCTCCTGATTTTCTAGTGCGAGATTTGCTTTGTAGGATTGGATAGGATTTGGGAGGTGAGATTTGGCAAAATAGTCCAACAAGCCTTAAAAACTTTGTTTGGTTAGAGGTGTTAGGACCGGGATTTAGAGAATTTTTAGTCTAAGGCACGAATGCTGCATACTATAGTTGATTGAAGCCCACATATGTAGGTTTAGGTTTGAGCAAACTTGAGGGAGGTTTGGATTTGAAGGATGGGTAGCCTGGATGAGTACGTAAAACCATGTTCGTACTCCAAACATGAATATGAATTATATTGGACAATGAACAATTTTATTAATTCCATATAAGCAAATGATCATAATGGTTGCGGTTGATTTAACATCTATCTGTACTAACGTACGCGGGAAAAAAAAATAAATTGTGGGTCTCATGTGAACTTAAATAAACTTAAATAACTCGAATACTCTCAAATATCTTCAAGAAATTATTTGGAAGCACGTTGCTTCCCACTCCTCTAAAAAAAAGAGTCCCCCTCTTTCACCATAATTTTGGTTGAATAATTAGGATCAAATGAAATTATTCCATTCGAATGATTTCTCGTAAACATTCACAATAATATGGATAATATTGAATAATTGTCAAAATATTACATTATATTGTTTTTCAAATTGTAGAAAAAACTAGAAGCAAACAAGTTGTAGCTAACAATTCTAAATTGGGTAAATCTCACTCACACCCCCTAGATTTAAGTAATTTTTATTTACACGCCCTCTGATTGTTAAAATATCACTGCACACCCCTATAATGTATATAACATTCCACAAACCACCCCAGTCGTCTATGCCGTTAGTGACAACCAACAAAAGTTGTGATGTAGTAATGGCTTATTTTCTTGGGAGTTATCAATTTTACCATTGACCATATAGCACTTACTACTTAAAAGTAGTGGACATCATCTCATATTAATTTGATCACATTAATTGTTAATTGGATTAAATTGAACGTCAATTTGATCAAATTAAACATTAATTTTAAAAAAATAATAAAATTAAATGTTAAATTCATAAAATTGAATGTTAATTTAATACAATTGAAAGTATATTTTATATTAAATTAAAGAAATGACATTAATTTAATAAAAAATTAAATGTTCGATTCTTGAAATTGAATGTTAACTTTATAAAATTAAATAAAAATTTAGTATTGATCGATGAAAATGAAGGTTAATTGGGGATTAAATTAAGGAAATGTTGTTAGTTTGATAAATTGAATGTTAAATTGATAGAATCAAATGTAAATATGACAGAATTAAAGGTTAATTTTGTGTTAATTTGATAAAATTTAAGACTAATTTTATGTAAATTTGGTAATTTGATGAAATTGAAGTTCAATTTGATGAAACTAAATCCTAAATTAAATAAATTGAATGTTAATTTGTCAAAATTGAATATTATTTGGTGTTAATTTGATAAAATTAGTATTTTAATAAATAAAATTAAATATCAATTTGATGAAATTGAAGTTCAATTTGATGTTAATTTGATAAAACTAAATTTTAAATTAAATAAATTGAATGTTCCTTTGACTTTAATATAAAAAAATTAAATTTAAAAATGTTAATTTGATTAAATCGAATATGAATTTGATGAAATTAAATATTAATTTGGTGATAAATTAAATTTAGTATTAGTGTGGTTAAATTGATTATGAATTTGATGAAATTTAATATTAATTTATAGTTAAATTAATAAAATAAGTGTTAGTGTGATGAAATTAATATTCAAATTAATAAAATTAAATATCAATTGGATAGAATTGAAGTTCAAATTGATATTAACTTGATGTTAATTTGATATAGAGGTTTGTAGGGATTAATAATTTATACATATAATATAAGTAAAGGTTAGTAAAATGACGTGATCTATCAAGGATAATTTTGTAAAAGGCCATTTTACGGTTATTGACAAAGAGTGGCAGTGAAATTTTAGAAAACACGGGTTGTTTATGAAATTTTGCTTATATACAAGGGGTGTTAGTGAAATGTACCCTTCTAAATAAGATTTCTAAATTCCATAAAAGATCAATATAAAATAATAATTAGCACAAAACGAAATTAGTCAGACATGACACAAGCCCAACTAAACCTCTCACAAACCCAGATCTTAGACCTTATAAGCCCTGAAAGGTAACCTTTGCCTATTCAAATGCCTCTTTTAAGGCTTGATCCCGAGTTCAGGCAATCCAGAGAAATAACCAGTTCTCTACATACATCACTCTGTTCTAGTGGAATAACAATGCACTTTTCAATCCTAGGTTTTGACCATACTCTAAACAAATAACACCAAAAAGACTTGATGGCTATAAAACACGGACACTCTCGAGAAAGTGACGTATTCGTATCAAACACATGTCAGACATCAACACTTTTACTCTCGGATACATGTCCATGCTTCTTAGCTTGATGGCATAGGTGGAAAAAAAAACAAGATAGATAAAAGGAAAGAAAGAAGACTCACAAACCCGAAAATTAAATAGACCGTCATTCAAAAGTGATCGAGTTTTATGATAGGGTTAATTGCGCAACATGATAACGTGTAAGCATCTGACCATGCACTACACAATGCACATAATTGAAAGCAGAGGCTTTAACAATAACAAACATAGTAAATACCAGCCAACAACAATTCTCTTGCCTGAGAAACTCCGAGGAATATTCATATGTAGAACCCAAAGACGGCAAAAAAGGCACCAAAGGCTGATTTTTCAACACCGTACCAAAAATTATGACTTAACTAGATGAGATTACGACTCAATAGAGTCCCTTGGGATCAAACCTAAAATGTTAGCATCGATCTTAAGTTTTTTTTGAATCATAACTTCACCTGATTGAGTCGTAGTGGACTTTTTTAGATGTAACTCAACTCTAATTGAGTTTTACCTAACCACTATTGACTCGTAACTTTAGGTACCAAACACGATACCACAGCCATTCCGTAGAGCCTAACACACACAGGAGACCACAAAAACCTACACAGGCAAATGTCACAAGAACCCAAAGTGAGCCCAGAAGAGAAGTTCAAAACCTGGGAAACTCTGCATTATGAGCAATCAGCAGTCTTGATAACAGCTTGAAAAACTCTGGTAGGCTCTGTCAAAACTAAGCCCTTAGGGGCTACATCTTCCAAAAACATTGGTGCTTTGCACTCTTCAAACTAGTCATTCCTTGCAGCTTCCTTTCTAAGGGAGCTGATGTTGGTCCCATGGCGAGACCTCTTCAGGACAAGCTTTCTCCTAAAAAGGTGAACACCCTTTTTTTAAATACCCGAGCTAAGTCCACAATTTCAGATTCTCTGATTTGCCGAGTCAACTTGTCAGACTGCCATAGCCATTTGCCTTTGCGGGATAACCTGTTAGCTACATCCAAGGTCAAAGAGGCCACATCTCGGCTGTTCGTTAGTATTCTGAAAACAGGAGTGGAGTACTGTGGATTTGATGCTAGTCTATTCAGAAGGATAAGTGCCTCTCGAATTAGCAAGGTCCTGCCAAAGAAAAACGATTCACGATTTAAGTGGCCAACATAAATAAAAACAGTAAGCTGGAATCAGCAATTTCTTCCTGAATTCACATAACATCCCAGAAAAAGTTTAAGAATAACATATAAATAGATTGAATCAGTGTGTCATTCAAAAAGTTGCAAAGAAGTCAAATGAATGGGAAGTCATTGCAATTTAACCCAAGAAGAATGCATATACGTTATATACAACATAAAGATAACAAAAATAACTTGGGATGTCATATTTGACAGCATTCGCTGCATTCCATTTTGTTTTAACACGATTACACCAATGAATCTGCGGAGTCAGCCAAAATAAAGAAACTAATAGAGTCATAGGCAAATTTACAAAAACTGATGAAAAGAACATTACGACGAGAACTTCTAAGAAACCATAATGACACTATTTTAGATGATGAGCAAAAGAAGAAGGAACAGATGCACATTTTAGCAAACAAACACAACAGATCTGCTACATACACTAAACATGCATACCTTTCTTTGAAAATTTCAGGCAGCTGAGTACATTCTGATGCTTCAATGTCCATCTCTGATGCCAAAATGTGCAAAATCAATGTAAGAAAGTCACTCCTTTTCGGAAGCCTATGACCCAAGAGAATTTCAAAGCCAGCTTTTCCGGACGATGCTAAGAAAGCCAGAACAATGATAGCATTTCTTCGGAGTTTCAACTCCTGAAAGTTTGACAAATTTGAAAATAAGTAGCATTCCAAACTGAGTATTTAATTGAAGTGAAATAGACAGTAACACACGAAAAAACACATAATGACTCAGATCAGTTCCAGGTGCCACAATTGCATACCTCAAGAAGAATGTACATGTATCTATACATACATATATTGATCGGATCTGCTTACAAACTTATGAACAAAAGGAAAATGTTTTCAAATATGTGGTTGGCAACTGCCTAAGAACTAAGAGGAGATGGCAATTGGGAGGTTGAGATAGGTAACCTACAATCCAACTCAGGAAACAAGAGTGAAACCTCTACTTCCCATTCAGCTACATACATGGCAGGGCATGCCGAGTAAAAGCTAATTATAAAAGCACATAATTCCTGACAAAAAACTGAAGATCCCTTTGGAACTCCTGAACTAGGGGAAGAAAAGGAAAATTGTCAAAAATGCTTTACATGATTAATTTGGAGAACGCCCAAGAACTTTATCTTCCTTTTTCATTTGTTCCATCCGAGATCACAGACCTACAAATGCAACAGGGGGGCCAGCGAATTGAAAAATCTAGAACCAATCACTCGGTCAGTGCGATTTCTAGTTGAGAGCTAATGAAGTGAAACTGCACTAAAATAAAGCCAGCAGATTCAGTGACTATTTGCTTACATGCTTTTACTTCCTGATATACGCCTAGTTATGTTACCATTAAGGGGGGACTAGGTGCAGTAGACTGGATCCTAGAGCTTTCTGCTTTGTTGTTTAGGTGGTTTCTTAGATCCTTCGTTTCTGCCTCCCGGGCGGGAAGCCCACAAGAAAGGAATGAATCCTTCGACCCTTCGCCAGAGGCGGCAAACTCGTTGAGCCGGCTTAGGACGTTTACATTGTCCTTTTCCAGCTGTCGTAATCTATCGCCAAACTTTTCTTCAATCACCTCCGCCAGCTGACGAGCCAAGGGGGCTGATCCCCCTGACCTGATTCCCATACTGGTTTGAGGGGTAACCCCTCTTGACCGAATAGAGGCACTTTTATTTATATTGGTGTGATCCCTCCCTCCGTGATGACAGGGAGCTTGTAACTCGAAACTCCTTTGGTGGGGTCCTTTCCCTTTCTGTCGAGTGTTCACCATGGTCACTGTTCTTTATAGAGAAAAAACTAGGAAAACTAGTCGTTTCCCACAGACGGCGCCAGATTGTGCGTGCAAGATCCTGCACAATATAAAAAACGAGAACAGATCTCTCCCTTGGTGAACTCGAGTGAGTCAGTTGAGTGACCAACCACGCTGCTTGGAACAGCCTGCGAGGTCCGGTGGTAACCTGGAACGGCAAAGGGAGACCCTGGGGGAGCGGAAGAACGATCCAGTAAGGCTGAAAGAGGTCCCTGGAACAAAGAAGAACAAGTTAGAAGGGCGCCGGAGTATTTTCCGGCGTATCCCCTCCGACGATCTAGTCAGTCTTTGAGAAAGAGAGAGGAAGGAGAAAACACTGAGTGTGTATTGTAGTAAAAAGTTTTTTGTTGCATACCCGTCTTGCCTTTTGCAAGGAGTATTTATACCTCAAAAGCTCATGATTGCTGTCAGTGTAGTCAGTAGGTGATCATTTGGTACAGGCAGTGTGCGCACTGATTCTGATGAGGAATGTCTTATCTTCTTAACTGCTCGGGGTCCCGAGCAATCAATGTTGTGTCATCGGGATGCCGACGGTACAATGTACTCCTCTTGGGGAGGATGCAATAAATGTTCTGTATTGGGAGCATTTATTGTTTTTCATTTCCGAGCCTTACCGCATTGAATGCGGTCTCATCAAGGGAATGATGTAATTAATCGTTTGCTTTCCCAAGTCGCGTGTCAGCAACGGCATGTGATTTCTCTGTCTTCGATGTGATATCATACGCCACGTGTCCATCCCCTATTGGCTGTGACCCCTGCATTCCAGTACGTTCTGACACTAATTGTGTAAGACGAAGTCATGATGAATAGCCTAGACTAGCCTAGGCTAATGACATGTACGTCAATAGCTTATCCTGGAGTAGAGGAAGCATCCAGGATGGGGTACCTCTCGGCACCGAGGAAAGGCTCATCTCGGAACCGAGGGAGGTATACCGACCGAGGTACCATATCAGACCGAGGTTACGTGTTGGTTGTAACTCGTACTGAATGCCATGATCTTATATGACGAGTACCTCGGGGGCGAGGACCTTTATGCGCCGATGGTGCTTGATCTTAGCAACAGTGTTTTGGTAAATATCGAGGACACGTGTCTTCATCATGGAGTATTTCAGAAAAGTCCCATCACAATGCACAACTCCTCAAGAAATGTAAGCAACTGTTTTGAACGGCTTCGCTCTCTGCTCGTAATTGGGAAAGTAGGAGAGCTGTACAATTCATCTGTATCTTCGATCTTAAGAGGTGGTTCTAAGTTACTAACAGTGTTGGACTTAAGTGGTGCTTCGTTGGAGACATTCCCCCCTGAAGTTTCAAAATTAGTTCTTCTCAAATATCTAAGCTTGAGGAAAACAAATGTGAAATTCATTCCAAGATTAATTGGAAAGCTTCGAAAACTAGAGACCTTGGATTTGAAATATACAAAAGTAACGAAGTTGCCTATCGAAATAGGAGAGCTTCGAAGACTTAGATATCTTGTCTGTGATTATGGGATTGAAGTCCTGGCGGAAATAGGGAATTTGTCATTCCTGCAAAAGCTTGGAACGATAGGGGCAGACAAAGTCAATGGCAACATTATAATGAGAGAGGTAGGGAAACTTACCCAACTAAAATCTTTGAAAATTTTAGGGTTGAGAACAGAAGACGGAAAAATCCTATGCTCGTCTCTTGAAAAACTGGGCAACCTCCGTACATTGCGTGTTGATGCATTTGAACAAAAAATGGAATGAGTTTGAGTTGCTTGATCTAAAGACATTATCTTCAGGTCCTCCACTTCTACAACAACTTTACTTGAGAGGACATCTTGAGGAGACACCACGTTGGATGGCTTCTCTTCATAGTCTGGTCTCGGTAAATCTAGACAGGAGCAAATTAAGGGATGACCACCTACTGCAATGGCTACAAGATTTGCCAAATCTCCAGCGTATGTCATTCCAAAATGATGCGTATGTTGGGGAGGAATTATGTTTCAAGGCTGGAGGATTTGAGAGTCTCAAATATTTAGGTCTTTTCGGATTAAAAGAACTGAGATGGGTGAGATTTGAGCAGGGCGCCATGCTTCATCTTGAAGAGCTAAAAATTGGGCACTGTGATTTGATGGGGTATCCATTTGGAATCGAACATCTAACCAACCTTCGATCAATTGAGCTAGATGAAGTGGATAAATTAAAGCCTCAGAACTTGTCAGATAGAGATAGAGATGATGCATGGGATGACAACAAACTTGCACACATCCCTCATAGGGATATCTGGAGTTGCCACAGCACATAACCTTTGCATGGACGTCTTCGAATAAAAAGGAGAAGTTGAAATCACTGTCTCGTGGCTAGACTCGTGGTGGAGGTGGTGGTCGTGGTCTAGGCATTATGTTATAATTTTGGATTGATATCATCTAGTGATGTAATATTTGAAATAATATCAAGATCTCTTATTACCATGTGCAATCTTTGATTAAGTCTCTACTTCAAATTTGTTTTTCTCTTTGGCTAAAGATCTTAAGCTGTCCAAATTGATAGTGTCTCAACCAAATTTGCTTGATTAAATGGATGATTAATTCAAATCTTGCACAATGCTTCTCCCTCAATAAGATGGTATTTGTGATCAATGTGTTCTTCTCCATATAATCCATGAACACCACCAATTTCTCAAGCTCACCATAGAACCAATGCCTCCAATTGTTACGCTACTTATTTATTTATTTGGATAGGTAAGTTATGTATGAACAATATTAATCATTTTTTTTGGAATGGGAGGGGAGGGGTGGGGGGACTTGAACCTTTGACTTCAAGAAGACAAAGTATTCATAAGGTAAGGAATACCATTAGACCAAAGGCCCGTTGGTGTACGAACAATATTAATCAACCAAGCACGTAGAGGAATAATAGGGCAGACCTTCTAACGCCAATCGAGCCCATAGGACGAGTAAATTACCCCATTGAAAGCTTACAATGCATTGCTCATGTGTGTTGCTAAGTTCTCTCTATTTGGCGGCTTTTGTTTTGACAAAAACCCGAAAATCCTTCTAATTCATGTCGTCCTAAGTTCCTCACCGTAGAAAGAAAGGATTCTGTTTTTCAAGTAGGGGTGTTAATTGATCAAGTTTTGTGAGTTTGAGCCTGAGTTTATCGAGTTCGTTTTTCTAAATGATTTTAAAAAATTCTTTAAGTTTAGTTTGTTTAGAAAATGACCTGAGCTCAAGTTTTCATGCTTGGATAAAACCCGAATAACTCGATTATTTTACATGTAAACAAGCCGAGCCTTTTATACTCATTTTTTTAAACTAACCTAAAAAATTGTTTAAGTTTAACTTATTTAAAAGCTTAACCAAGTCCGAGTAATTCGTCAAGATTAACATCCCCTGATTTTCAAGTGCGAGATTTGCTTTGTAGGATTGCATAGGATTTGGAGGGTGAGATTTGGCAAAATAGTTCAAGAAGCCTTAAAAACTTTGAATGGTTGGAGATGTTGGGGCCAGGATTTAGAGAATTTTTTGTTTAAGGCACGAATGCTACAGACTATAGTTGATTGAAGCCCACATATGTAGGTTTAGGCTTGAGCAAACTTGAAGCAGGTTTGGGTTTGAAGGTTGGGTAGCTTGGATGAGTTGGTATAAAGACATTAGTGCCCCAACCATAAATATGGATTGTATTGGACAATGATCAAGTTTATCAATTTCATACTAGCAAATGATGATAATGGTTGTGGTTGATTTAACATCAATCTGTGCTTATTTACCTGAGAATTTTTTTTTTTTTGGGTCCCACAAGAACTTAAATAAACTTAGATAACTCGAATACCTTCAAATATTTTAAAGAAATTATTTGGGGTGGGGGATGAACACGCTTTAGTTTAGAAGTTTTTGTCTGTTAAGTCGTAATTATCCTTATTACGTGGTTGTATATTTTTTCATAAAATTTTGGTTATATGTAAGAGTGTTTTTTTTTTTGGCATAAACAGTGAAGGAAAAAGAATAATGCGACTGCGTCATAAACAGTAACGGTGAGAAAATAATGCAAGAGAGCCACAAATTGTTGGGCATATCTTTGATCATTGCTCGACGTTCACATCTAAGGATGCTTCGTATGTGTCAAATTTCTTATCAAATTTATTTTTTAAGTCAATGTCATATTAGTGGGAAAAGAAATAAGACAAATCAATTCATCACTCGCAAGAAATAAAGTGAAAAAAACAACCACTTTTGGTTTGGTGGGGGAAGAGGGCCACAAAATATATCTAATTATATTATTTATATCATTCAATATTTAACTTTTCACATTGGCCATTAGTTCAATTTGTTTAGAACAATTTGGGACTAAATTTAGAGACCTTTGTGAGGATCTAATGGATTGCGATCATTGGGTTAGCATTGAATGAAGTAAACTATAAATCTAATGGCCAAAGTTTATTAAATCCTAAAATTTGGTAGAAGAAGCATTATAATTTTTTTTTATCTTATTATTGTTGAAATTTGGTAAAGATAATTAAAAAGCATGCCTTTTATTGAATTTCTTTTTCTACGCTCTGTCCCATTAGAAGACTAGTTCAAATGAAACTAAGGAGGACCACACGTTTAAGTTGGAAAAACAAAACAGGAGGAAAGCAACCACAGTGGGGGTGGTGGGGAATGGGGGCCACACGCTTTAGTTCAGAAGTTATTGAAAAATTGTTCGAATCTTAATTTGTATTTTCAAAGTGTAAAAATCTCAAATTTGAAAGGATCCAAATGATATAGGAACAAACTTGAGGGGGTTTAGGTATAACTTACCCAATTAGCTTTAGAAAATAAATTGACGGTTGTTAACTTCAGGTGCGCATTAATACAAATTTATATCTTCGAAGGTAAAAATTGAGATTTTTTATCTTTGATGGTATAAATAAAAATACGAGAGATTTTTTAGGATGCAATTTGCGATTCACCCTTTATATTTTTACATGTAAAGATAATTAGGTGCAATGCATAAAAAAGGGATACAAAAATGAACTATGGTATGGCTTGACATTTCGTAATTGTACAACAATAATTTTATTTGTACAAAATTCAAAAATCTAATTTGACGATTTAATTCAAAAATATAGGTCTCAAAATTAGATCGCGGTAACATTTCTTAGTAAACAAACCTTCTGAATCCGCTTATGTAGTCTTTTGAAGGTGTTCTTAACCATTTAACTTACTTTCACGCAAAGATGGAAACTGAGTTGTTAAGCGACTTGTGAGAAACAAACTATGTCATGGACCTGGTATGAGCCACCCGTAAGACTAACCAGTAGTCATTGTCTTATGTTTAATTCAACTCAACAAAGTTTTAATACCAATTTTCTTTCTATTGGGAGATCAAGGGCATGCCACCCAAACGAAAAAAAAGAAGAGTTAATAAACAAAAATAGCATGTAAACCAGATGGGTTCAACCAAGGAAACCTTGACCATAATGTAGCATGCAAGTTCCTATTATTGGATTAATTGCACAGTATAATACCATGTATGCATATATATCCATATGAGAATGGCAGCAGAAATTACTATTACATGCATCAAACAATGCATAACATTGGAAGCAAAGGCTTTACCATTTGCATGCATGGTATCACAAATTCCAACTAGGGATAATTATCTTACCGAGTATAGCTCAAGTCCAAGGTATGCAACTCCTTACCCATGCAATAGAACAATATTTTTAAATTTTCTCTCAAATATTGATTTGACCATTGGAGGGGTCACGCTAAAATATACTCTAGCGCTCTTCTAACTCTTTTTTTCTGAGTGACAAGAATTTGTTCGAACACTCACGTGTGGGTAGATCATTTGCAGAAAGTTCCATCGCTGTTCATTAATCTTTCTCAACAGCCACTCATTGAGGGACTTTCGACTTTCCTGACAAACTAGAATTCATTAAGGGAGAGATTTGTCATCTTATTCACTGTACTGAAATTATCCCGTAAAATAAACATATATTTAAGATGTATATACACACACATATGTATAGGGAGGTAACCGAAATGAGATTAAGACTCAATCACATGAGACTATGGCTAAGTGGAATCACTTGACATCAATCTTAAAATGTGTCATGATACATTTTAATTTTTTGAGTCATATCTTTGTTTGTAATTGCTTTCATCAATTGCAAGAAATAGTGTCATGGGACCACACCTATTCATCAATTGGCGATGTTAGCACCAATTAAAATATGGTAGAGGAAGGATTCTTCCGTCTTTCCTATGGCAATTCCATGGAAGATACAAGGATGTGATCCTTACAGTGCTGCCATATGATAAATCATACACATTATAATTCGAGTTCAATTAGTGTTGTTAGCACTAATTAAAATTTGATTCGAGTAAACTAAAATTTGTATTTTTTTACGTGTCAATTAAAATTCGTTTTTTATGTAGGGTCTAAATATTTATTTTACCCTAAAATTTATGTGTGAACTGAAAGACGCATATCACAGCAATTGTCTGTAAGCTTTCATCAAAACCAAGAACGCTACCAAGCCTGAAAGCTTTTGTTTATTTATTTATTGTCTTTTTCTTTTTTCAAATTGCAGAAAAGAAAGTAATGGTAATAATATTTAAGTAGAAAGCAGCCACTGTCGGTGTGGGGTGGGGCATATTTTTGTTCAATGCTCAGCTTTCACATCTGGAGAGAGGGAGAGAAGGAAGCATCAGTAAAGGAAATTCCACTTTCATCGATCCTTTCAAGCTTGAAGATTATTTTCCCGTCTTTTTGGTCCACAAGTGAACTGTCTGGAAAGTACAAAAATATATTTGCTTTGGTTAGTTTCCAATGTAGTTAGCCTGATCCTTCAACCATTTCATCACCGTTTTACACACCCAAAAGGCTTATATGAAGATCAAAAGGGAATAAAAAGTATGGCAGACATTGCTGTAGCTTTTCTGCTCGATCACCTAAAACCCATCCTTCTTGAAGAGGCAAGACTTTTAGGTAGTGTTAGGAAAGAATTTGTGCACACCAAAGATGAATTGGAGCAAAAGAAGGCCTTTTTGAGAGTTGTCGGTGTAAAAAAAGAGACTGATCCATAACTCAAAGTTTGGGTGGATCAAGTTCAAGATGTTGCTTATGATACCGAAGATGTTCTTGATGAATTCATGCTCCTATTGGGGCATGCTCATGGGGATGGATTCCATGGTTTTCTTCGTAAGATTGCTTCAATAAATGATAGAGAGAAGGACACTGACAGAGACACATTGGACACCATAAATTATGAGACTATTTCAACTTCTCCATGGAGACTTTTGCAACCAATGTTTC